TAACATCGTTAGTATTATTGTTATAAGTGATCATGACTGTGATTGTATATTTTTAAAAATCACTACTGTCATGTCATTATCATCATCATTCCAAAAAGATCTGTTCCTAACCCTCTAGATTTTTGGATCTTAAAGAGACATCATCATTTTCACCTCGCACTCTTTCTCCGGGCATTCTCGTCGGTCCTCCAAACTCATTTTTATTCCTACGTGTTCTCGAAGAAGCTATCCCTGCATAACCCTTCCTAAATTTCCTCCTGTAGGATGTCCCCTGGAGTGACAGGGGATTGAGGGAGGAAGGCGAGGGACGGGGGGGGGGGGGGGGGGGATGGGCGCTGAGGGGATAGGATAAGGGGGGGAGGAGGAGGAAAGGAGGGAGGGAGGGAGGAAGGAGGGAGGAGGAGGAGACCTGGGGGAGGGGGCGCTGAGGGGATAGGATAAGGGGAGGAGGAATGAGGAGGGAGGGGGAGGGAGGAGGAGGGAGGAGGAGACCTGGGGGGGAGGGCGCTGAGGGGATAGGATAAGGATAAGGGGGAGGAGGAGGAAGAGGAGGGAGGAGGGAGGGAGGGAGGAGGAGACCTGGGGGGAGGGCGCTGAGGGATAGGATACTGGGAGGAGGAAGGAGGAGGAGGAGGAGGAGGAGGAGGAGGAGGATGGGGGGAGGGCGCTGAGGGAAAGGATAATGGGAGGAGGAGGAGGAGGAAAGGAGGAGGGAGGAAGAGGAGGAGAAGAAAAGAAAAAAGAGGAGGAGAAGGAAGAGGAAGGGAAGGACAAGGAAGAAGAGGAGGAGGAAAAAAAAATATAAAACAAAAAGGAAAAAAGACAACAGGAAGAAAAGAAAAAGAGGAAGAAGTCACTCTAGCCGTGTCTTAAGTGGCGAAGAAGTAGGAAAAGGGTTGGGGGGAGTGACAGGGAGGATGGGAGGAGGTGGGCAGAGGTAGGGGAAGGACAGGGGGATAGGCGAGGGTAGAGGAAGGAGGGCAGCATAGAGGGAGGAATGTATAGGGGAGATGGAGGAGAGAGATGAAGAGATGGAAGGATGGTTAGATGACAGAGGGAGGCAGGAGGGAAGGGTAGAAGGGCGAGGGGCTGGTAGGAGGGACCCAGTGGGGAAAATGGGGGCGCACAGATAGGGAGGGGAGGGAAAAGGAGAGGAGAGGAGGAAGGAAGGGGAGGAGAGGAGGAGGAGGGAAGGGGAGAGGAGAGGAGAGGAGAGGAAGGAAGGGAAGGGAAGGGGAGAGGAAAGGAGAGGAGAGGAGAGGAGAGGAAAAGACTGTATCCCAGACTCAGAAGCGTCGCCGTAGAACCACTTTTTCTCAGCCGATGCCTTTCTCACGGGCTCCAACGCCGGAAGTTCCACGAGAGGAGAAAATCCCGCCAAATTAAGGTTAAATGCGAAAAAACGGGAGGGAAATGTATGACATCATGCCAATAAATACGAAAGACTTCCTTCTATAGATGATACGTAGTCACGCTTCCTTCCAAAACTAGAGATATATATAGACAAGACAAGAGAGGAAATGGAAGAAGTAAAGAGGGAAAAAGAAAGACAAAAGAAAGAATGAAAATAGGATGAGATGTAACTGGAAGGAGGAGGAAATAGGGTGAGATGTAAATGGAAGACGGAGGAAACAGTAGTAAGTTGAAGCGGGAGAACGAAAGAAAGGAAAGAAAAAGACAAGAAAAGGAAAGGAAAAGAGTAGCAGGTGGAAGAGGCACCATAGCATCATCGGGTTCCCATGGCGCCCCCCCCCCCCCCCCCACCATCGCGCCATAATGTTATGACTAAGGAAGAGTTTGTGCCGTGGACTATCGATCTCTTCGCTTCTCTGGTCTTGTTTCGAGAATCGCCCTTCCTTATTTTTTGTGTTTGTCAAATTGTATGTTGTTCTGTCTTTTGGTTCGTGGTGTGGAGTTTTTGTTTGTATGTTTATCGTGTTGTATCTTGGTATTTTTTGTTTTGTTTCGTGGAGTGGGTGTTTTTTTCATACTTTTGTGGTTATTATAATGTATCTTGTTTTATCTTTTACTGTTTGTTACGTGGAGTGATTCTTTTTTTTGTGGATGACCCTGCGTGGTGATGCTTAGTTATGACCCTTGGAGTTGGGGTCGGTCACGTGAATGTTTGTTAATGTTTGCTCACTCACTCACTTTCACTCTTCCTCTCTTTTTCTGCTTCCCCCTCTCTCCATCTCTCTCCCTCCCCCTTCCCTTTTTCTCTCCCCCTCCCTCCATCCCCATATCTCTTCTCCTTTCATCTCCTCTCTCTCTACCTTTCTCCCTTTCTCCCGTCCCTCTCCCTCCCCCACTCCGCCTTCTTTCTTTCTCTCTCCCACTTCACCCTCTTTCTTTTTCTCTCTCGTCTCTCCCAATCCCTTGTCTCTGTCCTTGGTCCTTGAGGTAACTTTTTCCTCCCCGAGGTCCTCAAGAGTTGGCTGATGTAAGGTTCCTTTTTGCGTGCGTCTGTCTGCCACGCCCTTCGCCTCATGGGTCAACTGGGTCTCAGGTTTACTCATGACATTTGCTGGAAGATGGTTTGCGGAAACGCGCGCGCACACACGCACACTGTAAATTATGTCATCTTGTGCTTTTTCTTTGATCTTTTTCTGGAGTTATGTAGATGATGACTTTTTGTCAACAGATCTTTGTCTCACAGAACTCGCTGACCGTAAGATTGCATGTATTATCATTATTTTTATCTTAATTTGCCTTTTAGACAACCTCTGGATACGTTTTTTTTTTTTTTACTTAATTTCTTCTTAAACAACTTTTGTATACTTTTTACCCTAATTTGTCATGTAAACTGAACTTTTGTGTACGTTTTTAAAATTTTAATTTGTCTTTTAAACTGAACCCTTGTATACTTTTTTTTTTTATCTCTTTCCTGGTTCAGCGTGGTGGCTTTTGGATCTCATGAGACTCCGTCGGGAATGCTGCTTTGTTTCTTCAAGTTTATTGTTGACTTGACAAAACATCGTCTTGCCCCACGGTGCAGCTTTATTTTGCCGTTATTTTTTATTTTCATTCATTAATGATAATGAACAAGCCACGCCAGAATTGAGGAAATTGGTGTTCAATTATGTCATTAAGTTTTGCTTATTTTTTTGTTTTGTGTGCCCCCCCCCCATTTATATGAAGCTGGTTTGTCATTGAATTTAGATATATATATTAGATTCTTTTTACATATATGTATTTTTTAAAATTAAATTTAAAAAGAAGATATGAAATGTTTTCCCGGTCTGGTCAGGAGAGAAAATATTTCCCATCGGGAGAGTGAAAAAGGATGTATTTTCATCGGCTCAGCGAGACATTTTCCCCAACAAATCGTTTGCAAGTCGTCTAGTACAGAGGGAGAGGGGGCCCAGGGAGGGGAGGGGAGGGGGAGGGATGAGGGAGGGGAGGAGGGAGGAGGGAGGGAGAGGAAGGGAAGAAGGAAGAGGGGAGGGAGGGAGGAAAAGGAAGGAAGAAAGAGGGAGGGAGGGAGGGAGGAAGAAGTCGGAGGAAGAAGAAGGAAGAAAGAGGGAGGGAGGGAGGGAGGAGGAAGAAAGGAGAGGAGGATAGGAGGGAGGGAGGAAGAGGAGGGAAGAGAGGAGAGGAGGAGGAGGAAGAAAAGAAAGGAAGGAAGAAGGAAGGAAGGGAGGGAGGGAGGGGAAGGAAGGAAGTGGGAGGGGAGGAGGAAGGGAAGGAAAGAAGAGGGAGGGAGGTAGGAAGAGGAGGAGGGAGGGAGGGAGGAAGAGGAAGGAAGGAGGGAGGGAGAAGAGAAAGGAAAGATGGAGGGAAGGAGGAAGAAAAAGAAGAGGAAGGAAGGAAGGGAGGGAGGGGAAGGAAAAGGAAGAGAGGGAGGGAAGGAAGAAGAGGGAGGGGAGGAAGAGGAAGAAAGAGGGAGGGAGGGAGGGAGGAAGAGGAAGGAAGAAAGAGGGAGGGAGGGGAGGAAGAAAAAGAAAGAGGAGGGAGGGAGGAAGGAAGAAAGAGAGGGAGGGAGGAGGAAGAGGAAGGGAGGTGGAAAGAAAGGAGGGAGGGAGGGAGGGAAGGGAGGAGGGAGGAAGGAAGAAAGAGGGAGGGGGGAGGAAAGGAAAGAAGAGGGGAGGGAGGAGGGAGAGGAAGGAAGAGAGGGAGGGGAGGGAAGGAGAGGAGGGAAGGAAAGAGAGGGAGGAGGAGGAAGAGGAAGGAAAGAGGGAGGAGGGAGGAAGAGGAAGGAAGAAAGAAGGGAGGGAGGAAGGAAGAAAGAGGGAGGGAGAGGAGGAGGAAGGAAAGAAAAGAAGGAGAGGAGGGAGGGAGAAGAAGGGAGGGAGGGAGGAGAGGAGAGGAAGGAGGAGGGAGGAGGAGAGGAAGGAAGGAAGAAAGAGGGAGGGAGGGAGGAAGGAAGAAGGAGGGAGGGAGGAGGGAGAGGAAGAGGAGGAAAGGAGGGAGGAGGAAGAGGAAGGGAGAGGGAGGGAGAGAAGAAAGAGGGAGGAAGGAAGAAAGAGGGAGGAGAAGAGGAAGAGGAAGGAAGAAAGAGGGAGGGAGGGAGGAAAGGCGAAAGAGGAGGATAGATAGAAGGATAGGAAGAAACGGGGAGTTAGAAAAGGAGGAAGTGAGAGAGAGAGAAAGGAAGAATATGAGTTGTCACCCCTCCCCCCCCCAAAAAAAAAAAAAAAAAAAAAAAATTGAAGATACTGTTTACATTTTCCACAATAAAACTTGAGCCGTCAGCATTTAATAAAATATTTATACTACACACATTTCTGCCAATGACACAAATGTCATTTTAAGGAATTTACCCCAAACAAGTGTGAGACCTTTCCTATTCTGTGGCCCAGTGTATAATAATTTTCATGGCTCCTTTCAGTGGCTGCCATCGTTTCAGATTTAGTTATTATTAGTCACGAACTGTGTAAAGGTGTCAACAGCTATAGGAAAAGGACACTATAGAAAATTTCCAATAAGTGAGAATTATATTTAGGTACTGAAGGCGAGATAAAATTCAGTTTAAATCGACTTCGTAATTTTAATAATGCTCCATGGACCCCCCAAAGTACCCTGTGGGCCCCCAGAAAGTACCCTGTGGGCCCCCAGGGTGCCGTATCCACCAGGTTCGCAACCCCCAATCTAATAGTTAAATTTCAGTTTAGGTTAATTGTTAACATAACATGCAATGTACGAATATATGAAGGTACATATTAAAAAATATTGTTTTTCTTTCAATTTCCAGGAGCATAGTTGTGTTGTGCGACATGATGAATTAGCAACCAAAAATAAACACACCCGTTTTAATTTTACATGTTTAAAGACGAAATGCAGTCGCTTTGGCAAAACTGAGTAAACACGGCTGCACTCGGTCTCTGTGCGCCACTTACCCATGATTAATTTACTGATCCATGTTTGTGGGGGACTGTATTGATGAAGGGACGGCGTTATTCAGCGTTATTCATGGGATTTATGAACATCCAGCGGCACTGAAATACATCGCCAGGTCGCTCTTTAAACGTCATTCAAAAGCTCGCCACGCGCGCCATCTGTTGTCCATCGGCGTGATTTTGCGACCACTAACCGCCGGCGCTGTTCATAGGTCATTAAACTCGCATGCCGCTGGGTCATATATGCTGTGGATTGACTATCTTTTTCGCTTTCAAATTAATGTCAAGGGCTGATGATATAACGACCTCTTTTTGTGTGGGTCATTTTGTGTAGGCCGAATTTGTGCTTGCGACTCGTGTGTTTTAGTTTGTTATTAATATAATTGTTTTCTTTTTCATCAGTAAATTGTGTATCAATGTCCTCTTAACAAGTTTTCCTCCCCTTGTGTGTCTCCCTCTTCCTTGCATTCTCACCCCCCCCCCCCAGACGACCATCTTCAAGCAACGGTCTTTTCCCCCGAACACATCTTTTAAAAAGTATTATGGCGCTTAACTGTAAAGCCATCATAGCTACATTTTTTTAACCTGCGTGTGTCTTTCTAACCTGTCTGTCTATTCCGCAGGTGTCGACGCGCTTCGACCAGCGGCTTCATGCGGCTGCGGTGCGCGGCGACGTGGAGGAGGCGATTCGGGTGCTCGACACGGGCCGCGTCCACGTCGACTGCGCCGACCGGGTACGGGGACGGTTTGCTTGCTTCCACTTGTATTGTTTTTCTTCACTTTTCTTATTTCAGGTCACTCTGATATATAAGTAACACGTATACGCACATATGCATGAATACACACGAAAAAAAATGTAATATACACGTTTTTTTCTCTTATGCAAAGCATGGCCCTTCATTACAGCTAAAAGGTTAAAGGTCCATAGGATCTCGTCAATATTTAAATAAGGAAAAATCTTTATTTTTTGAAGTCCAGCTATAACATTGTACCATCATAAAGATAGAGCAAACACTTTAAAACAAAGGCGGGAACCTCACAGACATAGCTTGAGAATTCACCATTTTAGCTTCCAAAACGTTCCCCTTGGGCTGCATTGAACGTAAAATGCCTACTGCTTATCCAGCGTATCATAACATATGTCTCAGAGCAAGAGGGAGATCTTATCTCTCGCTGGCCCGCAGAAAGGTGTCCAGACTCCCTTTTAGGTTTGCCTCTTCCACGCCCAACGGTTGAGGTCCAAAGCCATCAGCTGTGGAGAAGATTACAATGTTAGGAGGAACTTGTTGAACTCTGTAGACATTGGGTAGACGACAAATGCAATCTATGAATACAAACTTATGTATAATTTCATACATATGCACGTGCATATTTGCATGCATGCATACAGACTGACATACATGCATGTAGGGGAAGCCGTCGCCGTGTCACAAGCGGTTGATGAGGAAGGGCATCCAATCAGGCAAAACTGGTATTGCCATTCCTCTCAATAATTAACTAAAAGAGGCCTAAGTCCTGCAGTGCAATAAATGGCCGACACATATTTTGCATGCATGCATGAGTACATACACAAATATGCATGCATGCATGAGTACATACATATTTTGCATGCATGCATGGGTACATACACATATATTTTGCATGCATGCATGGGTACATACACATATATTTTGCATGCATGCATGGGTACATACACTTGCATGCATGGTGATACACATATATTTTGCATGCATGCATGGTACATACACATATGCATGCATGCATGGCATGCATGCATGGATACATGCATGCAATTGCATGCATGCATGGTACATACACATGCATGCATGTACACATTACATAACATGCATGCATTTTGCATGCATGCATACATACACATTTGCATGCATGCATATGCATGTACATACACATTTGCATGCATTGCATACATACACATTTGGCATGCATGCATACATACACATTTTGCATGCATGCATACATACACATTTGCATGCATGCATACATACACATTTGCATGCATGCATACATACATATTTTGCATGCATGCATACATACACATTTGCATGCATGCATACATACACATTTGCATGCATGCATACATACACATTTGCATTGCATGCATACATACACATTTGCATGCATGCATACATACACAATTGATTTTGCATGCATGCATTTGCATGCATGCATACATACACATTGCATTGCATGCATACATACACATTTGATGTACATATGCATGCATTGCATGCATGTTGCATGCATGATGCATGCATTTGCATGCATGCATGCATACATACACATTTGCATACCACATGCATGCATGCATACATACACATTTGCATGCATGCCACATTTATTTGCATGCATGCATATATACACATATATTTGCATACATACATATTATTTGCATGCCAGCATACATATACATATATTTACACGCATGGATACATACATATATAAAATTGTATTCACAAACTCACCCCCCCCCCCCACACACACACGCCCCTGGCCGCTGACCCCGATGCCTCGTTGCAGGACGGCACGACGCCGCTGATCCTCGCGGCAGCCAACAGCCACGTGGCGCTGGTGAAGGAGCTGCTGGACCAGGGCGCCGAACCCAACGCCACCCGACACGTAAGTAGGCCTATGGAAGACCGGCCGCTGGAGTTTGTAGGCTTCAGATCCATATTTGATGATGCGAGTTTGTTTTTGGGTGTATTGATTTCGGCAGGAAGGTTGTCTTGTGGTGCCGGATTTTTTGGATGTTGAATCTGTTTTTCTTTTTTTCGTTATTAGAGCTAATTCTGTAGTAGTTTCTCTCTTCTCCCCTCTTCCTCCCTATTCCCCCCCCCTCCCTCCTCCACCACAATATCTGTCTTCTTTACCATCCCTATCACCAGTCTCCTCCTGCCCTCCATTCCACCTCCCCCACCTTTCTTTACTATATTCTCTTCCTGTGCCATTCCCCCTTTTCTGCACTCCCTTTCCCGGCTCCCTCCTCTGCCATTACTCCTCCCTTCTCCCCCACCATCCTCTGCTTCCTCGTTTACCATCTCAACTTCTTCCTCTCCTCTTACCACTTCCCCTTCCTTTCTCCTGTCCCCCCCCCCCCCCCGGCTCTTTTCTGTACCCACCTCTTTCTCTTTCTCCCTTATTGCCACCTTCCTTTCTTCTTAAACTCTCTCCTCTTGCCCCCCCCTCCCCTCCTTCTAAACCTTCCTCTTGCTCCTCCCTTTCATCCCTCTTCCTCACCTTGCTCCCTTCTTACACAAGGGCGAATTATCATAATATGGGCACCTCGCCCCTCCTACCTCCCACCTTCTCCCACCTCCTTGCATCACCACTTTTCGGATAATCTTGTAGCTCGAGAATTTACCTCCTTAAGCTTGAGACGTTGTTAGGGTTGGAGATACTCTTTGTGGAAGGGAAGGTTGTTCGTCGGTGTCGGAGAGGGAAGGGAGCTGGTTGGCGCAGGGGGAAGGAGGGAGAGAGAGAGGGAAGGGTGAAGGGAGGGGAGAGAGAGAGGGAAGGGGTAGGAGAAGGGGGAAGGGAAGGGAGAGAAGAGAAGGGAAGGGGAAGGGAGAGGAGAGAGAGAGGGAAGGGGGGAAGGGAAGGAGAGAGAGAGAGGGAAGGGAAGGGAAGGGAGAGAGAGAAGGAGGGAAGGGAAGGAGAGAGAGATGAAGGGGGAAGAGGAGAGAGAGAGAGGAAGGGGGGGAAGGGAAGGAGAGAGAGAGAGGGAAGGGGGGAAGAGAGAGGGAAGGGGAAGGGAAGGGAAGAGAAGGAGGGAAGGAGAGAGAGAAGGGAAGGGGGAAGGGAAGGAGAGAGAGAGAGGGAAGGGGGGAAGGAAGGAGAGAGAGAGGAGAAGGGGGGAAGGGAAGGAGAGAGAGAGAGGAGAAGGGGGAAGGGAAGGGAGAGAGGGGAAGGGGAAGGGAAGGAGAGAGAGAGAGGGAGGGGGAAGGGAAGGGAGAGAGAGAGGGAAGGGGGGGAAGGAAGGAGAGAGGAGAGAGAGGGGAAGGGAAGGGAAGGAGAGAGGGAGAGAGGGAGGGAAAGGGGAGACAAGAAGAAGGAGAGGGAGGAAGAGAGAGGGAAAAAGTTAAGCTGAGGGATCGGGAGAAATGGTGGCTAGCTTAAGAGAGGGAAAGGGAGGGAGAGGGCAAAGTAGAGATTGTATGCATATATATGTGTGTGTGTGTGTGTGTGTGTGTGTGTGTGTGTGTGTGTGTGTGTGTGTGTGTGTGTGTGTGTGCGTGTGCGCGCGCGCTTGTTCGTTTCCCATTAACCGAAACGCGCGCGCGCTTTGTTCGTTTCCCATTAACCGAATTTGTCTGTCCCAAGTCATAATTAAAGCATTATAGATTACAACCTATCTTTATCTTTTCAAGATGTCATTCCTTCAGTTGCGCCTCAGTCTTCCCTGAAACGCTCTAACGCGCTCGATTAAATTCATTAGACGCTATCAAAGTAAGTTTGCATGATGCTGATATTAGATTAGACTCATTTAAGATGACTTAAAACAGAACACGAGATCGCATGACTCACGACTGTTACCAGCTGAGTGGCTGACAGGCTGACAGTGAATTCGTTTTACGATATTTATCTCGTCATAAAATGTAAAATGTTCAAGGAGTATTCAAATGGATATGCACTTATTAAAGCAGATCCTTAATTAATTTTCCGTGTGGGTGTGTATCATGTGTCTGTTTGTGTTTGCAATTGTGTCTGTATCTGCGTCTGTTTGCCTGTCTGAAAAGGTGTGTGTGAATATTTGTCCGTTTCCTGTTTATGTGAATACAAGTGTGTTTTTGTTTACTTGCCTTTTAATGTCTATCTGCCTTTCTGCCTGCCTGTCTGTCCGTCCGACTGACTCCCTGTCAGCCTATTTGACTCCCTGTGTCTGTCACTCTGTCAGTCGATCTCCCTGTCTGTACCCCTAAGCGCTCATAGGAGAACCTCCAATTCAAGTCCCGGCCCAAATCGCGGAAAAAACGAAGCGGTTCTCTACTTAAAAAGATTCATGAAAGTAAAATCCCGGTCCGTTAGCAACGGTAATATTCATCCGCGACCGCTTTTCGGCTTTTTGTGGCGTGTTCAGTGCAATACATTTACTTCAGTTTACAAAAGGGCTTTTTATATTTTTAGAATTATGATTTTCTGTTTTGTATATATTATTATTCGCTTTCATGGACTAACTGTTTAGTTATATAGGTTAGGCGGAGGGTTCTTGTGGGAATGAGTGGATTTGTGGAAATTATAAATGGATTCCTGTCGACACACACACGTACACGCACACGCATGCACACATATACATACATATACACACGCAGACATACACACACACACATACATACGCATCATACACACACACATGCACATATACACATAAATACACTCACATACATATACACATATACACACGCCCATACTTATACACACACACACTCCTCCACTCTTTTCTCCATTCCACTCACGTTTCTTCCGCCCCTCAACTCCCTCCACTTTTCTCTCTCATCTCTCCCCCACTCCCTTCGTCCTCTCCACTCCCTCCTTCCTTCTCCCCTCCCCCCTACCCCTCTACTCCCCCTCCCCCGCATTCCCTCCCAGTCCCTCCCTCTGTCCCCCCCCCTACTCCTACCAATCCCTCCCTCTCCCTCTTCCCCACCCCTGTTCTTACCAGTCCTTATCCTCCTCCCCCCTCCTCCTTCCCCACTCTTCCCCCCACCCCCCCCCTTCCCTCTTTCCCACTCCTACCACCCCCCCCTCCCCCTCCCTCTTCCCCACTCTCACCACCTCCTCCCCCTCCCTCTTTCCCCACTCCCCTCCCTCTTCCCCACTCCTACCACCTCCTCCCCCTCCCTCTTCCCCACTCCACCACCCCCTCCCCTCCCTCTTTTCCACTCTCACCACCCCCCCCTCCCTCTCCCCCACCCCACCCACAGAGCCAAGGAAAAGAGAGAAAAAAGTGATCAGCACCCAAAAGGTTCCCGCAGCAGCCAAGTTTTACACTCTTTGTACCTGAACGGCGTCTTAAGTTTCCGTTCCCGCTAAGCCCGCTCTCGACTTCTCAAAGCGAGGCGAAGTTCGACGTCTGATGTGCTTATAATAGTTCCCAGAAGAAGAAATAAAAAAAAGAAAAGAAAATCGTTGAAGAGTTCCTAATAAAAAGAAGGGACGGGAGTGGGAAGAATAGTGGATGGAAAAGAAAAAAAACTGTAAAAGATAGGAGATATAAGAAGAAAAAAAAGTTTTGATAAACAAAGGATTAAAATGGAGGGGAAAGAAGGAAGAAACATGATGAAAGTAAATTAAGGTGTCTAAGTTTGCTATAAGAAGAGAAAGAGAGAGGAAATGTAATAAGGAAAAATATTCACAGGAAATAATAATAATAAAAATATATAAAATGAAGGAGACGGGTGATAGAAAAATATCAATAAAATTAGGAAAACAGAAGTTGGTAGAGAAATATCTTAATCCATACAAAAGGGCTGCTAGAAGAGATAAGAAGGTTCTTATATGAAGAGGGATACGAATAAAAAAAAATTGGAAGAACGAAGACAAGGTGGTGATAGAATAAAAGTTTCCAATTAAAAAAGGGAGACAGAAAGGCAACAGATTTTTAAAAAATGTAAAGAAGTCAATGCCATTGATAAAAAGGTTATAAATTTCCGATAAAAGCTACAGACCTTTACTTTGTAAGATATGACTATTATAGTTTTTTATATTGCATTACGTTTTCCGTATGATTTGCTATTGCTTAGTTTACATTTATTTATCACTCTGCATTCATGTTTCTTACCTGAAACTAATTAACTAGATGTGAGATCAGAATCATATCAAACACTATGTGTCAGTAACCTTTCTGTTATGGAGAAAATATTTACGTACCAGTAAATCGTGTAAACTATTGTTCCTCAAACGTTTCCATCTGCAAAACGAGAAATGGTGCTGCACTGGCCCGCTGTGGCCCTTCGAAATTCACGTCACAGCACCCTCTTGAGAAGTAAAGTGGGTTAAATCAGCCTGTTTGTGTTAGCGAGGAGGTTGGCAGGCTGAATGATCTGTCGGTCCTTTGAGCTGCCAGTTGGCCAGCCGGTAGGTAGGTGAGTGAGTGAGTGAGTGAGTGAGTGAGTGAGTGAGTGAGTAAGAGAGGGAGGGAATTATTCAGTCAGTCATAACATCAAGTTAGTCAGTCACATTCATTCAATCAAGCAGCCAGTCAATTTGCCACTGATTTAATCAGTCCATCGGTCGGTCGGTCAGTCAGTCAGTCAGTCAACCAAGTAAGCCAAAGAGTCATAAGCTATTTATCAAATATTCAAAACAACCAATGATATGCGCTCTATCTTTTAATTGAATTGTATGCCAAATTTGCGTCCGTCGACATTGAATATTAATCATATGCATCTTTGCAAATTGGTGTTAATGCAACAGTAACGAGTTATTCTGTGTTGCTCTCATGAAAACGATTTGATAGCCAAACGGACCCATTGCCTTTGCGAGTCTTTTGTATGTGACCAAATAAAACGTTTTGACTGGTTTTTTTTTCTTCTATATTAAACAATGATTATCATTACATGTACCTAAATGTGCATGTGCATATTTGTGTAATTATATCCGTCTATCTATACAACCAGATTTAGACTTTGGGGTATTTCAGGTTCAGGAGCCCTTCAGCAGAAAGAAATGGCAAAATAAAGGAATTCATTAAAATAAATGTCGAGCCGAATTTCTTCTAAGAAAATTATGTTAGTTGCCAAGGCAAATTTTGTTCTCAATTTTATTGACTGCTAGAGTAACTTTCTACAATTTTCAGTTTTAACGCAGGCCATATCGACATGCTAACCTTATATTATAATTATTGTATATGTATTAATGTCATTTTATTTACATACTTTACATATATTTTTTACATCATCATACATCCATTTATGATTATAATTCCTAGATTAATATGGTTTACTACGTTATTCAGTCTTTTACTGTTACCAATTTCTCAACTTCAGAGGGTGGGGCACCGCCTTGGAATGGATAAGGATAACCCACCCTTCTATTTTATAGAACACACTTCGTTGATTCTTTTTTAACAATAAAACCAATTTAATTACTTACTTTTTATTATTTATTTATGTATTTATTTATCTATTTACATTTAGTTTTTAGTTTTTAGCTTAGGGGTCTCTTATGCCCCCTCTAATCCAGCCCTACCACCATCACCAATCACATCGCCATTAGTAACATCCACACCACCACCAAATACCCTTTGTTAAAATCAATAATCTCCAAAGGCACAAACCTTATTCACAGACGGGGACTGGGGCGCTGTTCTTCGCTGCCCAGGGCGGCTTCCTCGACATCGTCACCATCTTGCTCGATAATGGCGCCAAAATCAACCAGGCCTCGAAGGTAAGGAAGGAAGGCGTTCTGAAAAAAAAAAGGAAAATTAAATGCGTGTTTCTTTGATTCCTTTTAGTGCTGGTAATTAGCTCTAAGGGACGAGGGACTTGTTACATTTCTATGTCATTTGGTTACAACTTTTCCATCTCTTTCTTATTATAAGTTCTCAATGGCTTTAGCAACTTTACAATTCTCTCTTGAGATATACCATTCTTGACACCTTGCAGGACGGCGGAACTGCGCTCATCGTGGCGGCGCAGTGCGGTCACCTGGACGTCGTGACCGAGCTGCTGAGACGCAACGCCGACCCCAACAGCGCCATGAAGGACCGAGCCACCGCAGTCTTCGTCGCAGCGCAGAATGGCCACACCAGCGTCGTCAGGACTCTCCTCAACGCCGGAGCCAAGGTGACTCTTCAAGGCGGCTGGGGTGGATGGCTCATGTAATGAAGTTCGGGACCAGGGTTGGTGTAGGGTATGGGTGTATGTGTGTGTGTAGGGGGGGGGGATTATGGAGAAAGGCTTTTATAAAGGGAGCTTTTTTTTTTTTTTTTTTGGGGGGGGATCTTTATATGTTTAAAATACAGAATTTGCTTAGACACAAAAGGGAGAAGAAACAACGGAGAAATAGGTGAATGAAAATAAAAAATGATATTTTAGAAGCGGCTACCAGCCAATATGAGAAACCTTAACAGGGCTATTAAACCAATCGGCCTTTCCATCTTAGGCCAACGTGAGGCGGTTGGACGGCGCTAGTCCACTGTGGATTGCGTCTCAAATGGGACATCAAGGTGTTGTGCGTCTACTACTGAGTCATGGTGTCAATCCAGATATCTGCAGACATGTGAGTTACTTTGTTTCCCTATAAAATGAACAATTAATTTAAATTTCAAATGCACGTTTAGTTTACCCAATTTCTAATTCTATGAGTTTTGATCCTTATCAGGATAAAAACCTGAAGAATAATTTTTTGCTCTATCTTTTCATATGTACAGTATGTGACCTGTGGTTTGTAAATGATTAACGTTGATCAAAATAGAAGTTTTGCAGTATTTTGCAGTTGTAATTTAATAACCAAAATGTTTTGGTGATTCAGAAAAACATGTTTCAGGATGGAGCAACACCTTTGTTCAAGGCTGCCCACAAGGGACACGTGGAGGTTGTCCATGAGCTGCTGCCCTATAAGCCTTGTCTGGGTCTCCTAAGGGTGAGGTTTCATGGCTTTAGTTGTCTGATAGCCACGTATATTGCTGTGTGACTGTTTATATAACATCTAGTTTCCCTGTACAAGAACATAAGAAAGAATAATAATGACTTGGGGTGTGCTTGGTCATCTCACAAAATTAGCTGCTGTAGTGCAAATATTAGTTTGAGGAATGTACCTTGATACTACACATTACCATGTTTTATGACACTTTAGTACATGTCGGAAATTCAGTTTTGATATACTAAGTACAGGTTACAGTTAACAAAGAATTAAAGCTAACATTTTTGGTCCAGCCATATAATGAATTAATGGATTGCTCTTTACCTTTCCAGAATGGAGAATCTGCTCTGCATGCAGCAGCATTGTATGGTCATGTCCGAGTCTTGAAGGCATTGGTGCAAGCAGGTGCTGATCCCGGCCTCAAGAATGATCAGGGTCTTACCCCAATACAGATTGCTGCTCAGGCTCGACACCCAGAGGCCGTCCAGCTACTGAAAGATGCCCAGTCTAAGAGGAAAGATGGAGCGCAGACACCACCCAAACAGACATCACCTGGGCCACGATCCCCTCGCCTTGTGCAGAGCATGAGTGGCAATGTTACCTCTGGGCTAGGGAGTCAGAGTAGCAGCCGAGGTTCTTCTCGAAATAGTTCCTTAGGTACTATTGTAGAAACCAGCCCAGTACTACCACGCTCTGTAAGCTCCCCAAGTAACTCGCGTCCTGCCCAGTATGTTTCATGTGAATTGAGTAACATTGTGGATGGTGGAGCACGTCCAAGATGCCATGGAGGTACTGGTTCTTGTACATCTGTTGCTGGCCACAATGCTTCTTCTAATCCTTCGCCATCTCCTAGTATTTCCAGTGAACCTTCACAGTCCATGATCACAGCCCTGCAGAAGGCCCCACGACATGCCTCTCACACTGATGTCAGCAGTGTTAAAAACATTTTCCGTAGAACTCTTGCATCCTTTAGGCGATCCAGTATAGCAAAAAGAAGTGACAAACCACATGAACCATGACAACTCTCAAGGGCCTCTTTATCTCCCCTTTTTCCGTACTTGTTTGCTTTCCAGACTGTATGATATTTTCAGTACAAATGCCTAATAAATCTCTGGTGATATTAGGATAGAAGGACTTATATCGGGATGTTCTATTTAGGAATTCATGGTGCTGAAATTTTAAAAAAGGAAACTGAAATTATGAAAAGCTATCCGGAGAAGTTATGATAAGTTGGTGTATAACAAGTGTTTTTTTTCTTACAACCGACTGAATTTAATACAAAGAGCCTTTTAAATGTTTATTATTACATGATTGTTAATATACCATTTATAAGTTGATAGAAAAGCCTACTGAGTGATGAATGTTGTGCCACTTTTGCCTGAATGTTTCTCAGGTGTCAGGTTTTGGTGAAGCAGCAATGGAGACTAGTATTATCTCCACAAATATCTTGGTGTAACTTATGCAAGCTGTTAGGCACAGTAAATGGGGAGAAGTTCTTCGTTTCAGTATGAGGTGGTTACTGTTTTTTAATGATAAAAAATTAACATTTAAATTACAATAGGAGAGAATAGTGATAGGACACTTAAGGTATTGTCTGTAGAGCAAAAAAGAATGAATTACTGGGCAACTGGTTTTGGTGCTCATTATTAATCATAGTTATAATCAGATGATGATTAGGAATTGCATTGGACATGGAATACTCAGAAAACGTCAACTGCACAACCTAACAAAGGCAATGTTGTATAAAGAAATACCCATATTTGAACCTGAAACACTCACTAGAAAGTTAGTGAATTTTTTCAGTAAAATTTCACTTACACTTTCAGTTCATTGGCACTTAATTTTGGTTTGAAAACAGAATGTGACTTTCTGTCTCAGATGTTCATTATCTGATACTTAATGGAAGGTTACTGTTGGAGTAACTTGTTGAACTAGGCCTAACTAGTGTTCAGGGTGGCACAATTAGAGGCATGTCCTGATGAGTGGGCTTAGTCAGCGGGCATGCTTAGTGACGTCTGAGATGGGCTAAACAACCAGTTTGCAAGTGAAAAGCGTTGTTTAGCCAGTAGTCTACCTGTCTCAAATTGCACATCTTGGGCAAGCCCGCCAATCAGGCCTGCTCATCTGGACAAGTCTTTACTCTTTTCTTGAACATTTAAAGTAGCTTGGGAAAACAATCATATCTACTTTGAAACTACAAGCATTAATGCTACTGAAGAGTCTTGCCTATATATGGTCCAACCAGTTATAATAGGCCTATTTGTAAAACTGATTCTGCTGGGAGTCAGGAGAAATTTTGTTTTGCCTAGGTAATAAGTTCCTTTAGGAGGGTATAGAATATCTAAAAATAATTTAACATCCTTTGGGCCTGCAGCTGGTTGAGCCTGAAACAGGGCTACATGAAATAAGATGAAAAAACATTTAGGTCTATGCTTATTGTCAGGTATTGTGACCTAAACATCATGTCTTAAACTTATTTAAAAGGTAATACAGATCTACAGCTATGTTATTCTATGGATAGTGTTTATACTCTGTGAGTATAGAATATCCAGTATTTTTAAACCACAAGATAAGATAGCAGTTGCTCAGCTGTAAAATCTGGACAAAATATGTTGAATGACTGTATGTGATTTTATATTGGATATCATAATGACAATAGATAGGTAATGATGAAACATAGAACAGAGAGGCTGAAGATACTGAAAGTTTTATATTGATCACAAGACTTGAACTACAAGTCAAATCTTTAGTTGGTGGTCATAAATTATTGCATACCCTTAGATACTTACTGAGGGCATGTAATTGATCACACTTTACATCTGACTGCAACTGTCTTCTGCCATTATGAGGAGGCTTGAAAGCTTTTACACCTGGTGCTTTGCTGGTACAGTGTGCCACTTGTGTGTCTGAACACTTGGTGACTTGGGGTTTCATCAGGCTCTGCAATTTAATTTGTTGTTGATCAAATTTTACATTGCACTGGGGATCTACTTGGTATTCTTTGTCTTCGAAGCAGTGCATTAGATAAAATAGTTCTGATTAAGTTTTTATAGAAAAAATAGTTTCACGTGGTACACTTTTTCAGGATTTCTGCATTGGTCAAACAGTTTTCTGATTTGACGTGATGGTTATTCAAGTCATAAACTGTTCAGTGTTTCATGCAGAATTTCACAAAGATCACTGCTGTTGTGTTGCGATGGTCGAACGAGCGAATTCACTTTTGCCTTCAAGTAATTCTTAAGTGTCATGTCTGATACTTTGTTTACATTGTATATAATTAGGAGTTGATGAAAGTGTGACAGAGGGACAGTATTATTTTTCAGAATATTCCTTGCAAATGGGGTGTGACTGCACTTATGAAATGTGTATAATGGAACTTATTATCTTCCTACCAAGTGCTATGCACCATAAACACTAAAAGCGTGGGTAACTTGTGTCAATGTTAGCTGGTCACCATCAGTAACATGCTGCACCAGACACACTGCAAGGCACTTTCAACATTCTTGGACATACCTAAGTAGCACCTAATTGTAAATGTACATGAATACTTCTATGAAAAATTTATGTGATTAACCAATCAGAATATTTATTTCTAGTTACACTACTTAAAAGATAAACATTTCTTTTTATGACAGGATGGCCCTTCCCCACATGTCCATTGTTACTGGGGTAAGGGTAATTTTTATTAATTAGTTTTAAGGCTTTAATTTGTTGAAATCAAATTACTATATAAATATATTTTGAATTGGATATGCCAAGGTGTGTCACATGAGTAAAAAACATCAATGTGTATACTTACAATATTGGCAGCAGCCTCATATTCCACAGTAGGGTTCTGTTGGTGTTACAAGCTATCCTACTTGTTTCATTGCTAATGGGAAGATGTCACGCTTGTTGACTCTTCCTCCATATCACCTTCAGGTCTCAACTATATCATGCAAGGGGTGATTCTGTTGGAATGTTTATTATGAGTGTTCAGGAGTGATGTCTGCATTTCAATATGTTGTGGGTGAAAAGAAGTCACTGATACACAATCCTGTACAGGTGGTAATTTCATGCAACCAGTGATATGAGGATTTTGACATCATATACCATCAGAAAAAGGTTCTTGATTATATCTTACAGCATATGCAGAAGGCTGCAACAGCTTTCCACACAATACTATACTCTACTGGTCATGAATGCTGGGACATAATGTAATATCCTAAATAACTACATAGTTGTGACCATGTGTAAACCATGCACAGTTGTATCATTCTTTGCACGGCTTCTGTCACACATACTATTATAAATATCAAATCATCTTGCAAGCATCCACATCATTTACTGTATCCAGAAAATTTGCTGCTTAACACTCGTGATAAATGTAACTGATTGTTTACCCCCACAGACAAGTGCATATCGTGGGTTCTTCCTTCCTCAGTGTTGCTGCAGTGTCCAACCACCACATAGTGCTCGCCCTTCTTCTCACTAACAGTCAAACTAGTTAGTTTGTTCAGCCTTTTGGATGCTCCATGCATTGCTTGACTACCATGTACTGTACCATACTTGCTAAATAAACAACCATCACATTTTAGTTTGTCTACAGTTCTTCACCAAAGTTAATTGATCCAAGACTACAATTACAGATAAAATCCTTTCCAGGCATTAAGGATGGATTTCCAATATCATATTTTGTATACAAAAGCATCACTGATGCACCTTCTCCTCTAGTTTTCCAAGGCTAACTTTTTTTCTTAAAGTATTTTCTTCTACACAGATAAACATTATGCCAAAAAACTGGGGCAAACCATTTTTTATCATTTACGATGACTATATTTTGGGAAACGAAAGTGAAGAATTCATAATTATTGGAATAATCAGTAGTGTATAGTATACATTCATTACCGCTAAACAGCCCCTGCAGTGTTATTCCTTAGTGTAATATTCCTGAACTAAAGAGTGATTTTCCTTTTTATTGACAGAATTAATACTATTTTCACACCTGCAACCTTTAAGTAAATCACATAACCAATATCTTAATGACTATGCCTTCTTCAATTTTTTTTATTAACAACAATTTTA